GAGAGAGAGAGAGAGAGAGAGAGAGAGAGAGAGAATACAGGTTTGGGTTATATAGATATATTTGCTGTATTGCTCAGTGCTCTTTCTTTATACCATTATCTAATATGACCCCCCTCTTGTTTTCCCCCATCCCAGGTGACAGGACCATTAAACCATTAAAGAACTTGGGAACTGGGGTTTCAGTCTGGGAAGATTCTTGCTAGAGGTTGTAGCTAATAAACATAGCTGAACTGAATTTGCATTGTCTCTTGGAGTTCCTTGGGCCAGATCTCAATGCAATTCTCAAAAGAAACTCTCCCCACCACCCCACCTTCCATTTGGAAAAGAGCTTTAAGAAACTGAAGCCACCACCAATAAGATACTCTCTTTTACACAATGATTGTATTGCCAGATATTCCAGAAGGGTCCCTGAGGAAGATCTTAGTCTATGGTAGAATCTTATGGGCAGAGATGTTCCTTTTCCTTGGGTAGTCTGATCCCATGCCATTTGGTACTTCTGCAGAACCTGTGATCCCCTCCTCCAAGAAGCTGCTGAACTACAACTATCATCAGATGGTATCATCAGTGGTGAGTATCTCTAGGAAGTGAGCGCCACCCAAGGAAGTAAAGAGAGCAAAATACCATCCTTCAATGCTATGTCCAAAGTCCTATGCCTACCTATCTAGCTGGAGAATGAACCTAACTGGGATCTGAGTTGACCTGAATAGGATTGCATCAATGTGTCATTATTATTATACAACACAGAGACTTCTGAATGGGTCACTGGTAGGAACAAGTCTCATAAAACCTGAGATTAATCTGGGATGGTAAATCTGATTTCATAGCCCATGAACAGCATTTGGAAAATGGTAGCAAAACAAATGGAAGGCCATACCTTGTGTGAGTAATGTTGGTCCACAACTCGGGCTAATCCAAAGTCACCAATCTTCAACACCAAGTCATTAGTATTGATAAAAATGTTGGCAGGTTTTAAATCCCTATGTAAGACATTGGCTGAATGAATGTATTTCAGGCCTCTGAGCAACTGGTACATGAAAAGTTTAGCATGTTCCTCAGAAAGTGGTCCTTGCTCCAATAGACGGGCCAGGTCAGTCTCCATATATTCCTGGATGATGTACACCACGTTGAATTTGAACAAGTCTCCTTGAAGGTCTGCTCCTTTGGGCCCTAAGACATCATAGACTTTCACAATGTTGTCGTGATCCAGTCGGCGGATTATCTTGATCTCGCGGAAAGCGTGCTTCAAGCTCTGTGCATCGTTGATGGCGATCTTTTTCACAGCGACTTTGCAGCAGCTTTTGCTGTCAATTGCAGACAGAACCAGCCCATTCACACCAAAGCCCAAAGGTCTGAAGTTGATGAATCGGCAACCCAGATCATAACCGTATACGCTTGCAATGTAATCACACTTCTCTGCCATGGTGCAGGGTTTACTCCTGCTTTGCCCAGTAATAAAATTCCAGTAGATGAAACACTCCCCAGTTATCAGTGTGGCATGAAATAAAACAAATCTTCATTCTTATCAATTAAAATCTGTGATTTTTCATGCCAGGAGCCCATCAAATCAAAGGAGAAGACACTCATTTCAAAGGTATAAATCTGTAGAGTGCATCTCCAAGTATTTTTCCAAAGTAAGCTTGCTAACTTAGAAGCATTAATTTGAATGAGGGACTAGATGGAAAAAAAATTTTTTAATCGTTTTTAAATTACTCTCCTCATTTTTTAATTCCTGGAAATGCAACGTAATGAACCTTCAAATTCTAGAATATGTTTAATATCCCATTGGTTATTGACAGATATGGACCTTCTGCTGCAGGCTCTGGAAAGCAACATTTATACCTGAAACTTTTTTTTGTCATGGGCTCTGTCAGCACTTTTCTTGAGTGAGACCAGAATGAAGGCTGATATTCATTCCTTAATACAAGGCTAATTTCCCGTCCCATCATCATAAAAAGATAAATTTTCTTCCCTGTCAATTGAATGCAAGGCCACAGATGTCTATCCTCAGCATCTTCCTCCTTTTCTGCATCTTTCTCTTGACGATGGATTCCTCATTTACTTTTCATTATGTCTCTCTCCTCCTCACTTCTGACAACATTTCTTCCTGTAAGGGGAAAAAAACCCATAAAATTAACTTACTAATATACTTACTTTTATTTAAATGCTGTCTTCCTGAAGTTTAACATTCCTAAGGAAAACACAAATGGGATAGGCAAATGCTTTTGAGAAATTCAGGTCTTATCCCTGCAGTAAAGATGTGATGTTACCATCATATTCTAACCCTTCCAACTCCTTTGTAAGTTCATGAAATATCAGTCTATATTAACATCTGTCCCTCTCTGTTGGTCGCCCTGTTGAATAGGCAAGAAAGAGGGCAAGGAACCAGCTCAACCTGGTCATACCATTAAGCAGAATGAAAGAGCTTCCTTACGCAGCTAATTTTGGATGTCATGAAAAGGAAGCAAGTTGTTAGGCATTTTATTATGTTACTTTCATTCCTACAGTCCCTAAGACCCTTCTTGATGCTTGGGTTCTTATTTTTTGTTTTGCCCCAAGTGCCCGAATAATTTGATTAGCTTTGAGAAGCACTGATGGGAAGGTGCCCATTTGTAGCTTGGTTTGACCAGCAAAATGTCTCAGGGGCATCAATTACGTTCTACAAAATAAGAAATCCAAGCATCTGAGCCATGGTGTCATTAAAGCTTTCAGCAAGGGTGATAATCAACCTTTTCTAGGCTCAAGCTGAAACCCTGCACAATCTCCTACAAGACTATCAAAACTCTGTGCTATTTCTGCATTCTCATTAAGAGCACAATCTCACAAAGTTCAGAAAAAATATCACTTCCGTTTCCTTCCCTCCTGATCATTCAACTAGTGTCACATTGCAAACCCTCGTCTAGAAGCGATGTTCTGCTAGGCTGTAAGAATACGTGGAGGGGAGCAAGTTTCCTTTAATGCTTACCCCAAAATAATTTTCCTGCTTACCTACTGAGGCCTCCTCACCTTATGTAATGGTATGTGGGAATGACCTTGGGAGACAGAAGAAAGAGCTGCAGAATAGACAATGGTTAGATAACAGGCAGCTTAGCCTGCAGCAGGAATGTGGGTGTGGCAAATGTTTTAGAAGGGACCTTCCCTAGTTTCTTGGTCTGTAAAGGTGAGGGGCAAAAGATGTACTTTTAGACTTGCAAGATTCTGTTAATGTAACCATTCAATAAAGTTAGAGCTAGTACTGCTTGGTCTGCTTCTTGTCTGTACTACCTCGCAAGGCTGACACCTTTTCAGCCCTATCTTGGCTTGCAGTCATGGAAATGCCCCTTTTACATAATCAAAAGTATGCTAGAGAAATCCAGTTGGCTGTCACAAGAGGAAAAGGTGCCTGCTCCTTTTTATAGACCTCCATTGCCCTTCTTGTCTTTCTTCAATGCTGCTTCTTCTCATGGCAACAGCAGTTGGTCTCCATCAAAAGTCCTCCTGCCCCACAAGAACATTGTGTTTAATACTGCAATAGAATGCCTATCTTTTTATATCACTTCCTCTTTAATTTAATGAAGAAGAACTTGTTTTAGCATTCCTTTCAAAGGAGAAGAGAATTTCAGTTAAATTCTTCTGAGTGGCACGTCATGTTCTTGCACTGATGCAGTGATAAGTTGGGCAAGGGGTGTGCGTGAACATCCTGTTTTTCATTGTACCATCATCTCTCTAAGGACAAGCTTGTTTATTCATTGAAACTGAATGTAGGAGACTTGATACATGTACAGCTTTGTCCTGTAATTGATATGAATGTCTAGGAAACAGAGGAGTAGTGGACAGAATTTACTACCAATAGTTAACATATGGTATTTCGTGCTACAAGGTGCTGGGATAGGTACCACCTTGGATATCTTTAAAAAGCAGTTGGATACATTTATGAAGAAGTATTAGGGGTTATAAGCACTGGAGGCAGCACATCTACTTATACCAGTGGCTAGAAAACAGAAGTAGGAGGGTTACTGCTTGCATTTGCATCTGCTTGTGGGCTTCTAAGGAGCATTTATATACCATCTTAACAAACAAAGTAGGTTTTATCTGCTTCTGCATGGCTCTTCTGATGTTCTCAGTGTCCTCCTTTCCAGCAACTAAGAGGAATGACCCAAGTTTTGAAACTTTGAGGGATGGGGGAAAGACAAGAAATTCTCCCTGTCTCACAGTTATAAAAGGAGGCCCATAACTATCTCAGCAGATACTGTTCTTGATGGGCAGCAAGCTAATAAAAATGTATTTCACAATTCTCCTAGCCCAATCCAGTTTCATAACAGCTTATGAAGAAGGGGAAGCTGATATGTAGCTTGGAAGATGCTGAACTGAATCTGCCAATAATTGCATACCTTGACTAAATGGAAGATTAGCCAAATCATCAAACATTTTGGTTTTGCTCCTTGAGTGCTTTCCAAACAGCAATGCCACCAGGTTGTTCCGATGGGTATATTCTACAGTATTCAAGTGAAAAAGGTAACTGGAAATCAGCCTCTGATAATGACCTCACATTTCTGCAATGCTGGCTGATCACAGGTTATATTTAGCAACAGTCCCTGTGCCAAATGAACAGAGGCCAACAGAGAGATAAAACACACACACACATACACACCCCAGCTATGTAGCAACAGAGAGCAGGCTGCGGTGTAAGACATATGGGCACAATCTCCTGTATTTAGATGGCACATAAACCATCACACTAATACACACCATGTGTTCCCCTGGGACAGATTTGGACAGGATCTCACTTCACATTAAGTTTGCCAATAATGCATATTCATAGGACAACCATAAGCAAAAGAGACCAAAACTTCTATGCCTTTTTCAATGGTGGAGAAAGCATTTTAGCCAATTTAGCTTCTTGATAGGGTAAGAGAAATGTACTGAAAACTTTACTTCCAAACTGCTATTTAAAGCAAAGCCACATAGGTGTTTGGAGAGGGCAAGAACTTTAGGCAGCTGTTGCGGGGCACACCAAAGGTTGCTAATGGAGGCATCTTAAACTCCATCTCCCCATATCTGCTCTCTACACCTACTGTAATTCATTTTTAAAACCACTTGCATATCAAAAATTGACAGCAAATAAGATCTCTCTCTCTCTCTCTCTCTCTCTCACACACACACACACACACACACTGAGCAAGATGGGTATGCACCCATAATTTAAAGGTACAGGAGATATGACCTTCACATATTGACCACTCTGCAAATATCTACAGGCAGAAGACATGCACAATATCTATATGGGCCCACAGAGGTAGGGCCTTTGAATGGGTTGATTGACATGCTGGTTTGAACTCAGATCTATAAGACTATATAGTTGTCAGCTATCTAGTCCCTAAGATACTTAGCTGGGTAGCCACTATGACAAAGAAGTGGCAGAACAAGATCCTAATCCACCTCGTCAAATGGCCTATAATCAAGACCTGCTGTTGTTCATTGACACTCCTCTTTCTGCTGTCCAGAACTGACAGTGGGGGACAGCCTCAAAGGGCCAAATTTGACACAGATGACCCTTCCTGACCACTGGCCCCATACACACATGGCAAAAATGTAGATGCAAATACTCTCACTTTCCATTGGGAAGCCATATTGGTTTGGGGTAACAAAGCTTGCCAAGTGTTTCTCTGCAGTTGTAACTAAGAATCTCCACCCAAGATTTTCTATGGCAGTCAACAGTCATCTTCAAGTAATGTATTCATTTCAGACAGGAGCAGTAGGTCTCAGTCTCCAGATAATGATTTTGAGATAGAGGCTTCAAAATCTTATGGATTCTATGGAATCTGGAAGCCCACTTCACAGGAGGGTATTCTACAAACCTTATGGAAGGAGTTTGGTTCCAGTGATGGTACCAGAACCTAAGCATTCTTTCCAGCTGCCACCTGACAACATTTCACATTTACATTAAGCTAAGACTTATTTAGTAACCATATGGCTGGGTTCACACCATACATTAAACCATTACACCAAGCCAAAACCAAACTAACTGCTCTTTGGTTTTGTAAATTGTCAGAAGACAATTACTCTGAGTCCAAGAAAGAGACTACAGTTTAAGCCAGCAGCAGCACTAACCTCTCAGCTCTTGGCTTGGACAGTCTCATTTTAATTCTTACAAATTTTTACCTAAAAAAGAACAAATTCAGCTGGTGGACTTTGTTATTCAGGGATTCTATTAACCTCATATCCATCCAGGATCAAGATTTGGCTTCTTGGACAGTAAACGGACCTTGAGGTCCGATCTCTGCCCAAATCTCTGGATTACTATTATCAGTCAGGATGAAATTACTGCCTTGGAGTCCAACTCAGTAGAGTGCAGTTTAGAATAGTTTGTCCATCTGCAGATGTCTTACACACAAGAAGAGAAATGTCAGAAATAGATCTGAAGCTTTCATCAGAGGTTCTGGTCCATTTCCTTAGGTGAACCCAGCCATTTATCTCTCTTCCAGGACTGTCACAGCTCCCAGCTGCCTTTAGACTTACAATCAAGATTTGTATGTTCAAATCTGGCTAACAAAGGACTATACAACTGCATTTGTCAACTTCTATCCTTGCCTATAAACTGGTATGATGAGTCTGCCCCAGGGTTTAGAATCTCCTTTTTAGCCTTGTCCAATCGGGCATCTTCCAGATGTGTTAGAACTGAAACTCCCAGAATTCCCAACACAGA